CGACCGGTATTCAAAAAACCAAAATGTAGAACTAAAGTCAAGGCGTTCAGTATTAGTGTCCAAGGAGTAAAACTCTGGAACAATTTAAGCAATGAAACTAAGTCACTTAGAATATTTAAAAAATATATTAAATTAAAAGTTTTCCATAACTACAGCCGTAAGTTATGAGGGGAGTTGAGATACATTATTTTTTTAACAAGACACTTGATTGTTAAAGAGACAGGCTGATTAACATTTATTCATGATCTGGTCCTGTGATTTATTTACATTCTAAGTACAACTGTTATGTTTTATTGAAAATTCTTTGTTAATAATTAAGCTGATGATGTTTTCATTTTGTAAAAAGGGGCGGAGCTTCATAAGATGTTTTCTTCTGTCTGCTCCTTTTCATTCAAGGATTTTGGATAGAATTTTATGTTTACTGATTTTATTCTGATCTTGTTTTTTTATTTTTTTTTCTTTGAATGAAATAAGGAATGAAAAAAAATCAGCAATGCAATTTTTTTTATTTATTTCCTCATCTTTGTAGGACGTTCAAGTGCAACTTCCAGTTCAGCCACTAGAGGGAGAACTCAGAGCAGAGGTAATAATGTTTGTGTTGGTTGGAGTTCATCAGAAATAATTCTGTTAAATAAAATCAAAGATCCTAATCAGGTTTTATTTTTAGAGAGTGAGATCAGAGCCAGACTCCAGAGCGCCTCTCCTCCAGCCAGATGTGAGTCTGTCCAGATCCTGTAGGTCCCGATGTGAGGTGTCCCAGCTGTTTTCAGCTCTGAGAGATCCATCTGTGGTTTGACTCCTGCAGGGACGGAGCTGGACGACGTGAAGCGCCTGCTGAGGGGGAACCGCTCCATCAGTACCAGTCCTCCGCAGTCCCCCAACAACACTCTGCCCATCCCGAGGAAGGCCAGTGTGGAACCCAGGAACTCATCGGAGAGCGCCACAGGTTCAGGCCTCCAGCCGTTCAGCATCTGTACCCAGATCTGCAGCTTCCTTCATCACGCTGTTTTTGTGTTTCAGAGCCATACGGAAGCCTTTGGTCTGGAGATGTGAGCGGCGGGTACGGACACAATCCCAACAACTATACCGGCCCTACAGGCCCAGCCCACTACCAGTCAGGTAATGCCCAACCACGCCTCGGTCTCGTGTTAGTGTGCTGCTGTGTGATTCATTTTGTAAACGTACATGACAAATCTTCTTCGTACTCCAGGGTTACTTGTGGAGTACAACAGGGTTCAGTGCTTGGACCAATTCTTTTTACTATATATATGCTCCCAATTGGTAAAGTCATTAGACAGCATGGGATAAACGTCCACTGTTATGCTGACGATACTGTTGTAAAGCACCTTGGGGGGTTCCAGGACTCTAGAAGGCGCTATATCTAATACAGGCGCTATATCTAATACAGGCCATTTACCATTTACCATTTATCCATTAACCCTGATGAACCTAATCGGTTGGGTAGATTACAGGCTTGTCTCGAGGACATAAAAAAAATTGGACTGTCTAAACTTTTTGCTTTTAAATCAAGACAAGACGGAAGTTCTCATCTTTGGACCAGAAATCCAGAAAAGGAAATTGCTTAGCCAATCACCTGACCTGAATGGCATTACATTAATCTCCGAGAACAAAGCAAGGAACCTTGGTGTTATCTTTGACCAGGACATGTCATTCAAATCCCAGGTTAATCAGGTTTGTAGGATTTCCTTTTTCCACCTTCGGAATATTGCTAAGATTAGAAGCATACTTCTAATGTAATAAATGCATGAACTAGTTTTTCAGCGTCAGGAGTGACGCTGAAAAACTAGTTCATGCATTTATTACATCAAGACTGGATTACTGTAATCCATTACTCTCAGGAAGTCCACAGAATGTAGTTAAAAGTCTTCAGCTTGTCCAAAATGCTGCAGCTAGAGTTCTGATGAGAATTAAAAAGAGAGATCATATCTCTCCTGTCTTAGCTTCCCTACATTGGCTACCTGTTAAATTCAGAATAGATTTTAAGATCCTTCTTCTCACATATAAAGCTCTTAATAATCAAGCTCCATCATACATCAGTGATCTGATTGTTCCATCTGTTCCTAACCGAGCACTTCGCTCTCAGACTGCAGGTCTACTGGTGGTTCCTGGAATATCTAAAATTAGGATGGGAGGCAGATCTTTTAGTTATCAGGCTCCTCTCCTGTGGAACCAGCTCCCAGCTTTAGTCCATGAGGGAGACACTTTGTCTACTTTCAAGAATAGGCTTAAAATATTTTTATTTGATAGGGCCTATGGTTAAAATCTGATGTTAGCCTAGATCTGGACAAGTGGGGGAGTAGAGGGAGGTGGAGTGTACAGTCGGTAAAGACGGCTCTCCCTTGCCCTGCCTCCAACATGCCTCCATCTAAATAGGCTAGGTTATCCAGAGTTATCTCTGTAGTTATGCTGCTATAGGCTTAGACTGCTGGAGGACACACTGACCACTTTTCACACTCTACTGCTTTCTTCTACAGTCTGC